AGGACTGCCCCCTCCGCTGCCCCGTCCGCCCCCTCTTGCAAGGCCCCCTCGTCATCCTGCTGCCTGCTATCCAGTTCGATTATCACATCAATCACCGCGCGCCCCGCCGCGCGCCGGAAGCCGGCTATCCGCCGCCCAACGAGCCCCCGCAGCCCGGCCAGCCCCGCGGACACGCAGGGCCCCTTAGTGATGTGGGTCTCGATCCGCGGCCCCCAGGGCCGCCCGTCGACTGTCGCCTGCAAGCTGACGGCGAGGCGCCGCGTCGGGTGCATGTCCCTGGCCCGGCCCGGCAGCTCTTCAGGATACAGAGCAGCCACAAGGGCCCGAGGCAGCCTGATGCCGTGAATGCTGTTGGAGAGCCTGCCGCCCGCGTAGGTGGTGAACGTGATGCGCTGGGACTGGGTGTTTAGGGCGTTCGCACGAGGAGGAGGGGGCCCGCGCGTGCGGCAGAGGCAAGGGTGGGTGCACGGGCGGCGAGGCGTGAGGCAGCGGGTTCGGGAGTCGAAGAGGCGGCGCGTGAGCGGGGCGCGGTTTTGGGTGCGTCGATCGGGGCCGTGGTTTGTACTTTGCCAACATAAAATCTGGTGCACACTGCCAATGGAATGCATGGTGTACTCCCCTCAATGAAAGCGGCAGGCAGGGCGGGCCAACAGCACCCGGATCCTAATCCTAATCCAGCAGCGGGCTGCCTCCGCCAGCCCCGCCTCACCGAAGCCCAAAATGTGCCCACGGGCGCGACGCAGGCGTCGGCGTCACCGTCGGCGTCAGCGCCGGCCTCTAGCGTACCGGCATCCGGCTGCCGCCGAGTTTGCGGCGCCCTGCCCTCTGGCCGCTTCTGGGCTGGCCCGTCTGCGAACTCCTCACTGCTGCTGCGCAAGGCGCAGCCCGGAACCTCCCCTGCCGCGCCCTGGCCCCTCTCAGCAAAGGCCATAGGCGCCGCCACGTGTGGCGTCACTGTCGGGGCCTCGGCTGTGGCAGCTGCCGGCATTACATGCGGCGGCGCGCTGCGGAACGGCTGCTCGTGCTGGCCTAGGGGCGGCATGCTGCCGCTGGGGCCCGACTCCAGGCGTGGGCGCTTCGAGCCTCTTTCAGTCCCGCCCTCTGCCTCGACAACGCAGCTGCAGCCCGCTTCATCGGGAGGCAGATCGTTCCATATTTCTTCGAGTGTCGAGAAGGGCACCAGTGCAAGCTTACTGCGCATGATGGATCCTGGGTGTGTGCGTGTCGCGCAATCAGATTTTTATTAGGGTTCAAAGTCGAGAACCGCTGGAATGCGGCTTGACAGCTGCGCGATTCGGATCAGTGCCAACTGCCAAGTTCCTTGAGCACGGCACGCAATCGAGGTTATTGTCGCTGAAGCAGGTCATCAGATGGGCGTCCCGTGTGCATGAATCAAAACATATACAAGTATTCAGAATTTTATGCCTGTAAGCATCGTCTCTGCATGCCAGCCACCGCGTTCAGCTCGCCAGTTGCTGCAGTAGACCGAAGCAGACCGTGCTGGTCAGGGGCACGACGCTCAGGGTGGGCGCACGGCATGCACGTGTATGTGCTATGCCGCACCTGCAGTTGACACCAGCCAAGCGGCCCACTAAATAGATGTATGGCGCAAGCGAGGCGAACCATTTGACCGGCAACCACTGCACCACCTCACCCAGCACAGCACATGCCGCACCGCTGTGTGCTCCATTGCAGCCTATGGACTGGAGGAGGTGGAGATGGTGGGCTGGGATGCGGCTTCGAAGTCCAATCCTGTTAGCCTGGATGGCTCCAGAAGCAGACAACTGCGGCAAGATAATGCCCTGATCCCGGCAAACCACATGTTGCACAAACCTCATCAACGTGATGTGCTGTACCCCTCAGCAGAGATAAGTACCGGTTGAGGCATGTTGTGTCAACAGCAACATTGGCATGCCTAACTGAGAGCACAGCAAAACATGCTCTACTCAGAAGGGCAGGCACAGCTGTTGACAGCAACCCACAAATCGACGGTGGGGCCAGGGGCAGCTGCAGCTGCGAATATGCTGACACCTACCCCATCGGGATACATCGCAACGGCACGCATCAACACTCGCTAAACATGAAAGCAACAATTCAGAAGGACTGCTCAGCAGCCGCGCGCCGCCACCCGCTCCATCCAGGCCCTCACGACCTCCACCGCCCCCGCTGTACACGCGCGCCGCAGCCGCGGGTACTCCATCCCCAGGAACCGCCGGCACCCGCCCGGCTCCTTAGTCGCCGCTTGCACGCCGCCGCACACCGCGTCGAAGCGCTCGGGCGGCAGGCCCAGCGCATCCGCCGCGCGCAGCGCCTCATTGTACGCTGACGTGGCGGCTTCCTGCAGCGCGGCCTCGGCCGCTGCGGCCTCATCAGCGGTGGCCCCCAACGATGGCCGCGGCGGCATGATAACCTCGCCCATTTCCAGAGCAATTATCCTCGCCGCAGTCCCCGCATTGCCACGAGTGCGCTGCACCGCTGCAGCCTTGAAAGTTGGCACCACCTCGGCGTCCGCCTGCGCACGGCCCTGGCGGCGCTCCGCCTCACGCGACGACGCGTCAGCGCCGCCGCCAGCCTCTGCCCTGCGCGGGGCCGAGGCCAACACAGCAGCCTTTGCCGGCCTGGAGGCGCGGGCGGCGGCCTCCCCAGCCAGCGCTAGCGGCGCCCCGCGCCCGCTGTTGGTCGCGCTGCGCTCAGCGGCGCCGCAGCGCTGCAGCAACGCCGGCCCTTGTGGCTGCTGCTGCTGCTGCTGCTGCTGCTGCTGCTGGCCGCCGCGCACAATGATGAGATCGAGGCCGTTGCGGCCGGTTCCGCGCCGGAAGGCGGTGAGCTGCGAGCCTGCCAACTCCCCCTTGCTGCTCAGGCCCACCGCCAGGCTGCCTGTCGCATTTATGCGGCTGGGGAACCTGGCTTCCCAGGGCTGCCCGTCCACCTCCAGCTGCACGCTGACATCGATCGGCGGCGGGGTTGCCGCAAACCAGGTTTTCAGCAGGCGTCGAGGGATGCGAACGCAGTGCAATCGCACGGCTGCTCCTGCATCAAGCCTTGGCTTAAGGGTGTGCGCCTGCAAAAGGTGTGCAATCGGGAGGCACAGGGTGGACATGCGGCCGGGGAGCGATCGTGGTGGGCGCGATAGGTGGGGGGGCGCGCGGGAGGATTACGCCGGGGCTCGCCGGCTGGCACCCGCCAGCAGTTTCCCGCGGCTTGCCTCACCGTGTCCAGCGGCCAGAGGGTCCCTGGACGCACGCCATCCTCCCCAGCCTCACTGCCTAGACCTCCGACGCCCGCCTCTGTCCACTCGTCGTCGTAGTCCTCCTCCTCCTCCTCCTCCTCCTCCTCCTGCTGCTGCTGCTGCTGCTGCTGCTGCTGCTGCTGCTGCTGCTGCTGCTGCTGCTGCTGCTGCTGCTGCTGCTGCTGCTGCTGCTGCCCCCACTGCTCTCTCTCAGACCCCTGTCTGCCCTCACTCCCAGCGCCCTCTTCCCCTGCATCCCGCTCCACCCACCATCCTGCCCCATCACCTGACGCCCCCTCATCCTCGCGCCGCCCCCTGCGCGTAATCTCCATTTTGACTGCCGCGGCCCCTGCCCCAAGCCGGAAGCCCGTCACCCTGCACCCAACGAGCTCCCGCAGCCGTGAGAGGCCTGCGGTAAGGATCTGCGCCCTGTTGACACTACTGACAAAGCGCGGGCCCCAGTTGCGGCCGTCGACCACCGGCTGAATGCTCACGTCCAGAGGGCACGGCACAGGCGCGCCGGGGCCCCATCGCGCCAGCTCAGCAGGGAAGAGGGCCAGCAGGAGACCCCTGGGGAGGCGGAACCCTTTGACGTACGTTTCGGCGCCGCGGCCGCCGCGCCGGTTTGGTTTGCGGCGGAGCCTCACGCGTTGGTTCTGCGGTCGCGGGCGCGAGGGCGGGGCGCATGATTGTGGGCGCCGGGGGTGGCCGAGCTGGCGACGCGCACGACACCCAACATTCACATGACCAGCCAGTTGCGTTGACAGAATTATCTGTGGTCTCAAGGGGCACGGCAGTCGTGCCAGGCAAGCCAAGGCATGGGCCGCCCTCGTCTGCAGGGCAGCGGCCTCACCACTGGCCAGAGCCCCTCGAGAGCGTTGATGCCCGCGCTGCGGCCGCTGCTGGCCGCCTGATGCTCGCTCCGCTTGCTTCTTCGCGGCCTCTTGTGCTCAGGGCCCGGTCCCCTTCCGCTGGTGTGGCCGTCGCTGCCTCCGCCCTCGTCGCCGTCTTCCTGTGATGCTCGCTCCTGGCCGACCGCCTGGGTTTGCTGCTTCGCCGGCGCCAGGCACTGCCAGCTCGGCAGCGCTTGCGCCGCCGCAGGTTTCATTATCAGTTGCAGTGGTGTGCTGTGTGCTGGCTGGTCGCCCTCCCATTGCTCGCTGCTGGAGCTGCCGCCCCTGCTGCGCGGACGTTTGCTGCCGCCACCCACGCATCCAAGCTGAGGCTCATCTAATGCTAGGAGGGCCGATGAGGGCACAAGAGACAGCTTAGAGCGCATGATCGCGTCGAGTACCGTGCGATGCGTGCAGGCCGAGGCACCGGGCAGATCTGACGTTTGCCGCTTTTGACGGCGGATGTCTTATTTTTATTATTTTTAAATGATCGCCTATCACATTTGCTGTCGGTAACAAAGTCCATCACTCGTTTCAGCTCGCCGAGTGGCTGATCCACATCTCAGAGCAACCCCGCTTTTCATGTGCAAGCAAAGCGGGCTTGCTCGAAATCAATACAGGGTTCTGGGAAATGATCGCTGTCTGCAAAGCAGCTGGCGCCATGGTGCGCCAGCACTTGCAGCCTGGCGCCTGCTTCGCAGCCCGCAGCGTGCACGCGCGAGCAGGCCATGGTGATGGGCAACAGCAACCCGTCGATCCCGCGTCAGCGCCCGAGACGCAAACCAGAAACGTCCGCAGCGACGTCGACGAGCTCTCGCACACCCCAGACAGCGACTTTGGTGGCGCGCCACGCGGTGACGTCACCGAGCATCAGCATCACGATGGTGAGGCAGCGCCAGCGGCGGACCAGCAGCTGGCGGAGGGGGCCCACCCGGCCGACCCCTACGCACAGGCAGGGGAGGCGCCACCTCGGCCGGATGACATGCACGATGAGGACGATGCCGCGCCCCCATCCGCTTCCTTCCCCGCCTGACCCATGGCATGCTCGGGGCAGCACGCTTGAACTCGGCCGACCGCCCCTCGCATAATTCCATGTTTTGAGGCGCAGCTCGCTGCGCACTTGTCTGATAGCGTAGCTGCCGTGGGAATCGCACCAGTGGCGCCTCTGCAAGGCGACGGGTGCTGTCTGCCATCAAATGGTGGATGCGGTTGCATGCGCATCCCCCCTGGCCCGCCCCCCCCCCCCAAGTCTGGCTTGCTGTTTACTGTAGAACCAGAAGCAGAGGGCATGCTTAAGTTCCCACATGGTGAAAAGTGCAGACCCTGCCATGCCGCATTGTCCTGCAAAACGCAAGCCAAATTACACAGGGGTTTCAAAGGGACCAGAATAATGACAGGGGTGGGTGAGGGCCAGGCGGGGCGCGCCCACGCGCTCGAGACGACAGGGGAGTACCCGGGTCCACGAACACAGCCGTGGCTTGGACATGGCGGGCGCATGAGGCGGCCCACAGCCTTGAGTCAGTGGGCGGATAAGCACGCCTCCCAAGTGCCGGCGACACGCGACAGGCAGGGCAGCGGGACAGCGACCACACAGACCTGTCCCGCAGCCGCGAAGAAAAGAGACAGCAGCCCCTGGCCACGCAAATGCTCTCGCCGCGGGGGTGCCGCAGGGGGGGGGCGAAGACTGCTGGAGCCACGTCCGCTCGCGTCCAGGGGCCGCAGTTGCGGCTGCAGCCGCGGGTTCAGGCGGCGGCGCCGGCCTTGGAGGACAGGATGATGCCCACTGCGTTGCAAAGGCGGTGAGAGGCATGATCCCGTCAGATCAGGTGAAAGCCAGGAGGTGCTGTGGGCAGGAGGCTCACATTGTGAGGCTAAGGAGTTGTGAAAACCAGCGATCGTTGTGCAGCCGGCCAAGCGCAGCCTAACCGCCCCAGCCTGGTGTGCGTCAACCGCGTTCGAACAGCCATGCACATGGCTTGTCACACATGCAAATGCTTTGAAAGTATGCCCGTCGCAGCACGCGCTCTGCTTCTGTGGTGTTCTTGAGTCTGCCGGCCAGCCAAGCCACCCTGTTGGAACCGTATGCCTCACCGATGAGGCCGTAGAGCGCCAGCGCCTCCGCGAAAATGAGGATGAGGATCATGCCCACAAACAGCTTGGGCTGCTGCGCGTTCGCCCTGTCATCGTGAGGGCGCCGCGGCGCGGGGCCGAGTTCGACAGTTCAAGACCTGGGGCTTGCGCTTTGTTCGGGCTTGTGCCCACTGGCATGTCACTAATCCAGGTACACCAGGCAGTTGGGTAGCTAGCTGGCCTTGAAGAGGCGATGCGACATGCAGGCAGGGGCTCCAACACCGCTGCACGCACCTGACGCCCGCATCTCCCACGATGCCGATGGCCATGCCCGCCGCAAGGCCCGCCAGGCCGCAAGACAGGCCAGACGACAGGTGCGCAAAGCCGTCAAACAGCGTGTACTTGGCCGGCGAGACTGCGGTGTACGGTGTGTGTGTGTGTGTGTGTGTGTGTGTGTGTGTGTGTGTGTGTGTGTGTGTGTGTGTACGGGTGCATTGACAGCAGCATCAGGCGCATAAGCGCAAGGCATTTACGTCGCGAGTGGGGTGCAGACTAAGCGTCCGCCACTTGCCCAGCCGCAGGTGCGGTGCGACAGCAGGCGCAGGCGCACCCCTGCCCCACAACCTGCGCTATGGAACTCACTGTTGGTGGAGATGATCACGGCAATGATAAGGCCGTAGATACCGAGCACACCAGCCATGACCACGGGCACGATGGACTTCATGACCAGCTCGGGCCGCATCACGCCCATGGACGCGATACCCACACCAGACTTGGCGGTCCCATATGCCGCGCCCATGCCTGCAACACAAAGATGGGTTGATCGCCCTTTGATCGCGCGCCACGGACGTTCTCGCACATCCTGATCGTGACAGAAGTGTTTAGAGACCACATAAAACGCTTGCAGCCAGCTGCGTGCGCTCCAGGAGCCCCAGGCACGAGTTTGGTGCCTCACAGCTGAAGATCAGGGCCGACGCAGCCCCGATGAACCCGAAGAAAGGAGCTGTATCCTGGCTTGACTCCGACATGGTTGCTGGTGCAGCGGGGGAGCTCGCTGATGTGATCTAAGTGAGCTAGGTCTGTTGCTCGGGTCGAACGGCAGCGGCTGTGCGGGTTCTAAGTAAGCTTGGAGGTATGTTCACTTCCTGTGTACGCCAGCGAAGTCCTTGGGTTGGTGCCACCACCTCCCCTGCCCCGCTTCTCAGCACACCCACCGCAGCTGCTCATGCTGCTTGGGTGACACCAGACCCGCTAGGGCTTCTTTCGACCGCACGTTGACCTGAGGTGCTGATGCATGCGTGCGTGTATTCAGCGCATGCGCAATATAAGCATCAACAGGCAAAGCAGCAGTGCCACCTCTCCGTCACAACACATGGATTGATGCAAACGTTTCAGTTACACAGACATGGAGGCAGCCGCTGCATGAAAAGTATCGATCCAACACGAGCCGGCGACGGAAAGTGTGCCCTGCGTTCACAGGCCGGCCACCGCCCAGATGCCGCCGCCGTTTGTCACTACCGCGCCGCCGCCGCCGCGGCCCGCGGCCCCCTCCGCCTCCCCCGCGCGTTTGTAGCAAAGGTAATGCGCGAGCGCCCCGCCGGGGTGCGCGACCAGCACGCTCCCGCCGATGCGCTTGTGGCACATGCAGCACGCGCGGTCCGAGGTCAGCACCACGCTCCGCTGCTTCGCGCGCACCTGGTCCTCGCGCGCGGCGAGGTTCTCGCCGCGCCGCAGGCTGCGCACGACAGAGAGGTTGCGCGAGCGCTCCGTGGCGTGCTGCAGCATCGCGCAGAGCAGCGGGGACAGGCACTCCAGGGGGAGGTCGTCGGGGAGCATGCCCAGCACCTGGGATGGAAGATGGGCAGGTTTGGGGCGTTCAGCACGTCTGTGCATGTCTGCAAGGGCATGGCACGCTAAGCATCGTCCGTTGCGAGAGCAGGGACCACAGGGACTGTGCGGCAATCAGAAAGAAAGGTGGGTGCCAGGCCGTACGGCAGCATGCGGTGGCAGCACCGAAGCCCGGCTCTGACGGGGGCGCGGGGCGCCGATTGCCTAGCGTGCAAGCATTCAGCACAGGCGGCGTGGAGGGACGCGCCGCAGCGTGCCCACCCAGGGGCCCAGCCCGTGCCGCACCGGGGCTCGCGCAGCGCAGGGCATCCAGGAGCGCAGGCAATGCTCAAAGCACGACCGGGCCGCCTCGCCGCACCTTTGAGGTGTCAATGCGCGGGGCCTTGCGGCTGAGTATCGCCCCGAGCTCGCCCCACGCCGCCAGGTCAACAGGCGCGCGCGCCGCTGCCGGCGACGGCCCCTGCTGCTGCCGCTGCCGCTTGCTGTCCGGCGGCGCCGAGCCAAGCCCTGGCGGGCCCTGCGGTCCGCGAAGGCGCACCACTCACAGAGTCTCAAGAGGGAGCGAGGCCGGCAGAGGCGTCATGAGCATAACACACACGAGTGGTGCCCATGCGGCGCTGAGCAGGCGCTTGCTTAGTAATTCATGGCTCCGCAAGCACAAGCCAGGGCTTGCCACCCTGAGTCACAGCAGCAGTTGGCGCCCCTGGCACGACCGCGCTGGTTGTTGACTCTATAAGTCGCACCTCCATGAGCGCCTCAAGCAGCTCAATATAGATGTCAGACGGCGGCCCCAGGAAAGACGGCAGCGCTGGCATCGAGAGCGGCAGCCCCGCCGCGCGCCGCGCCGGCGACGGCGGCCGCGGCGGCGCTGCCGCTGCCGCTGCCGCTGCCGCCGCAGCGTTAAAGCCGGATGCAGTCCGCTTCAGCAGCAGCGGCTGCGGGTTGGCGGG